AAACTGGTCCCAGATCTTCAGAAAAGATTATCAGCAGGCAATGCTGTCGCATTGTGCCAGGTACTACAGCAGGGGTGGCAACATGAAAGAGCAATGCTAGCATCACTGTGACCCTCCTCCTGCCCCCATCCTGGCAGGGACCTAGATATCTGCTTTAAAAATGTTAAAGTCTGTTTTTTTTTTTTACTAACCCAGAAATCACACTTTACCCAGTGCTCATGTCATCTGTGCTTTTTCAGATACAGAAATCCAGTTCAACACTTAACTATCCTTTCCTGTAAGAGGATACAGGACGTGATACGAAATCCAGACAGAAGTTACTGGCATGGATGGTGGCATGTGCTAATCAGGGCTGTTCAAACATTCAGGATCCCTACCCTGTGTGTTTTCATGGTCACTGTAAGCTCTTTAGAACAGAAACCCTGTCCTTCCTGTCTTTCTAAACCAGCTATCACACCTCTACAATTCCACATAATATTACCATGTCAAGTGCATGAGCCCAAGAGATAAGGATGACAGGCTACCCTGTTTAGATCTTGTTTTCCATGGATTTGCATCAAATGTCAGCTACTTAAGACTGTATTCATTAAGGCATTTTGCAGCACACAGCACATTCTTGTCTAAGGGACAGAATGATAACCATTTTTTAAACAAGTGAGAACCATGTAGAAATATGTATTTTAAATTAATATAATTTAGAATGTTCATATAGGGTTCTTCCAAAATAGCCCTAAAATGTTTTTGTTGAGTCATAACTTCAATAATTCCTAAAGGTGTCTACCAATATGTCTATCATCTTTTAAGTTCTACAATGAGCAACATTTAGCAATTAATTAGAAAGTAGAGCACTCCACTGTAGTCCAAACTCTCCCATTGTTGATTATTTAAGAGAATATAAGGATTTAGTGACCAGCAAGTAGTTTTCCATCACTTACTTTGAAAATTACACTGTTCAAAGCTTTAAAGAAATTCTTTATAGCATGATTGTAACATCTTAAGCCACTTTGAATATTAAAACTGTAATGTGGAAGCAATTTATTTTACTCAACATGAAATAAATTGAATTTCAATGTATGACTGAATCATAACAGAATGGCAAGTTGAAGTACGCAATCTCTACAATCAGGTCTTTCTAAGAAAGATGACTTTTCCAAAATAGCATTTATGAAGCCTTCTGGCTGCTGTCCAGATTTGGCATACTTAAGTTGTTTTCATTTCATAAAGTTGAATGGCTTACAAATCAGATGCCTCTTATGCCACAAACTCACAGCAAAATAACCTGTGATACAGCTGTGGAAAATAGGTAACATCACTCTGAATGACCAAATAATCTCTTTTTTTTTTTTAAGAAAAAAAATCTTCCTATTGAAAAGCAGTTTCTTATTTTTATGGAAGATAACTATCAAATCAATGGATTTC